TCTCTTAAAATGATTTGGAAAGGATTCCCTCTTTTTGGACTGTTTGGAATAGTTTCAGAAGGTGTGGTACCAGCTCCTCTTAATATGTCTGGTAGAATTTGGCTGTAAACCCATCTGGACCTGGGTCTTTTTTGATTGGTAGACTATTAATTCCTGCCTCAACTTCAGCCCTTGTTATTGGTCTATTCAGGGTTTTTACTTCTTCCAGGTTTAGGCTTGGGAGGATACAAGTGTCCAGGAATTTATCCATTTCTTCCAGGTTACTAGTTTATGTGCATGGAGTTACTTCTAGTAATCTCTGATGGTGGTTTGTATTTCTGTGGAATTTGTGGTGATATCCCCTTTGTTGTTTATTGCATCTATTTGGTTATTCTCTCTTTTCTTTTTTATTAATCTGGCTACTGGTCTGTCCATTATGTTGATCTTTTCAAAAAACCAGCTCCTGGATTTATTGCTTTTTCGAAGGGTTTTTTTTTTCTGTGTGTCTCTATCTCCTTCAGTTCTGCTCTGATCTTAGTTCTTGTCTTCTGCCAGATTTTGAGTTTTTTGTTCTTGCTCCTCTAGCTCTTTAAATTTTGACAATAGGATGTCAATTTTAGATATTTCCTTGCTTCTCATGTGAACATTTATTGCTATATATTTTCCTCTAGACACTGCTTTAAATGTGTCCCAGAGATTCTGGTATGAGATTCTGGTGTTTTCGTTCTTGTTGGTTTCAAAGAACATCTTTATATCTGCCTTCATTTCATTGTTTATCCAGTCAACATTCAATAGCCAGTTGTTCAGTTTCCATGATGCTGTGCAGTTCTGAGTTAGTTTCTGAATTCTGAGCTCTACCTTGATTGCACTGTGGTCTGAGAGATTGTTTGTTATGATTTCCTTTCTTTTGCATTTGCTGAGGAGTGATTTACTTCCAATTATGTGGTCAATTTTAGAGTAGGTGTGATGTGGTACTTAGAAGAATGTATGTTCTGTGGATTTGGGGTGGAGATTTCTGTAGATGTCTATTAGGTTTGCTTGGTCCAGGTCTGAGTTCAAGTCCTAGATATCCTTGTTAGTTTTCTGTCTTGTTGATCTGCCTAATATTGACAGTGGAGTGTTAAAGTCTCCCACTATTATTGTGTGGGAGTCTAAGTCTCTTTGTAAGTCATTAAGAACTTGCTGTATGTATCTGGGTGCTCCTGTATTGGGTGTGTATATATATTTAGGATCGTTAGCTCTTCTTATTGCATTGATCCTTTTACCATTATGTACTGTCCTTGTCTCTTTTGATCTTTGTTGGTTTAAAGTATATTTTATCAGAGACTAGGATTGCAACTCCTGCTTTTTTTTTGCCCTCCATTTGCTTGGTAAATATTCCTCCATCCCTTTATTTTGAGCCTGTGTGTATCCATGCATGTAAGAAGGGTTTCCTGGATACAGCAAACCGATGGGTTTTGGCTTTTTATCCAATTTGCCAGTCTGTGTCTTTTGATTGGGGCATTTAGCCCATTTACATTTAGGTTTAATATTGTTATTTGTGAATTCGATCCTGCCATTTTGATGCTAGCTGGTTTTTTCGCCTGTTACTTGATGCAGTTTCTTCATTGTGTTGATGTTCTTTATGATTTGGTGTGTTTTTGGAGTGGATGGTACTGGTTTTTCCTTTCTATGTTTAGTGCTTCTTTCAGGAGCTCTTATAAAGCAGGCCTAGTGATGATAAAATCTCTGAGTAATTGCTTGTTTGTAAAAGATTTTATATCTCCTTTGCTTATGAAACTTAGTTTGTTTGGATATGAAATTCTAGGTTGAAAGTTCTTTTTTTTAAGGATGCTGAATATTGGCCCCCACTCTCTTCTGACTTGTAGGGTTTCTGCTGAGAGATCTGCTGTGAGTCTGATGGGCTTCCCTTTGTGGGTAACCCAACCTTTCTCTCTGGCTTCCCTTAGCATTTTTTTTTTCATTTCAACACTGGTGAATGTGATGATTATGTGCCTTGGGGTTGCTCTTCTTGAGGAACATATTTGTGATGTCCTCTGTATTTACTTGACTTGAATATTGGCCGGCCTTGCTAGGTTGGGGAAGTTTTCCTGGGTAATATCCTGAAGAGTGTTTTCCAGATTGGATTCATTCTCTCCGTCACATTCAGGTACACCTCTCAATCATAGATTAGTTCGCGACCGCTCACCCTCCACGCTGTTGCTGGGAGGTGCAATCCAGAGCTGTTCTGACTCAGCCATCATGGATCCCCTCCAGTTGAATTGTTTGATATGCACCGTAGATTGAGATCTGCATTTGTGGTTGCTCATCATTTCAAGATAAAGGAATTCAGCGTAAGGACCATTACACATAAAACAAAACCAGGAAATTAATAAAGCCATTGCTGTAGCTACACCAGCAGGCACAAAGGCCTTGCAGTTTTTGCAAAATACCTTTTTAATCTCATATTAAAAATTCATGTTGGTGCTGGATTGCTATAAGAAAGGTACAGACTCTAGGAATAGACTCTAATATGATTTGAGAAAATGTGAATTTATTGTATGACAACTAAAAGCCAAAGCAAAGTGAAGAATCTAAAGCTGGAAGATTTGATGAGGGCAAAGCATGGTTTAATTTTTTTTTTTTTTTTAGATGGAGTCTCACTCTGTTGCCTGGCAGGAGTACAGTCATCTCGGCTCACTGCAACTTCTGTCTACTGGGCGCAAGTGATTCTTCTGCCTCAGCCTCCATAGTAGCCTATAGGTATGTGCCACCACGCCCAGTTAATTTTTGTATTTTTAGTAGAGATGGGGTTTCACCATGCTGGCCAGGTCTCAATCTCCTGACATCATGAACTGCCTGCCTCGGCCTCCCAAAGTGGGGTATTACAGGCATGAGCCACTATGCCTGGCTGGTTTAATATTTGTGTAAAGAGATTTGGCTTAAGAAAATTGTCACAATAACAGGAAAAGCAGCTTCTGCTGACCAAGAGGCAGCAAGGTTCCTAGATGCCATTTAAGGAAATCATTGAGGAGAAGGAATATCTGCCTGAACAAGTTTTTAAGGCAGATAGAAGTGCCCAATTTTTTTTTATTGCATCTTAGATTTTGGGGTACATGTGCAGAACATGCAAGGATAGTGCCCAATTTTTGATAAAAGCAAGACAAAAGGCATTTATTAGAAAAGAAAGGCATAAGCACCACGATTTATGGCAGGAAGGGGTTAGCTAACTGCCCTTATCTATAAAGCTGCTAGCAACTCAGCCTTAAGGGAAAGAGATAAACGCCAGCTTCCAATCTTTCAGTTGTACAACAAGAAGGCCCGGACAACAAGAACTGTTTTTCTGGATTGGTGTCATTGATGCTCTGTTCCTGAAGTCAGGAAGCACTTTGCCAAAAGAAACTGCCTTTTAAAGTTGATTTGATCCTACACAATGTCCCAGCCACTCAGAACTCCATGAGTTTAACCCAACATTAATGAAGATTACTTTTAGAACATGCATCCTTCTATGACATGGGCCCTGAAACTAAAGCAAACAGCAGATAAAACATTAGTACCTACAGAAACATTTTTAGAGAAATGAAAAAGCAAAACATCAGGCAGAAATTATGATGTATTTCCATAAAGCTACAGGGAGTGTGCCTGCCTCTCCTGCTTCCCCTTTCTACCTCCTCCACTTCTTCCATCTCTGCCACCCTTGAGACAGTAAGACCAATTCCTCCTCTTTCTCAGACTGCTCAACGGAAATGACAAGGATGAAGACCTTTATGATGTTTCACTTTCACTTAATGAATAGTAAATATATTTTCTCTTATTATTTTCTTAATAACATTTTCTTTTCTCTAGCTTACTTTATTGTAAGATACAGTATATAACATATATATGTTAATAGACTGTTTATTAAATTGATCAAGCTTCTAATCAACAGTAGACTCCTAGTAAGTTTTGGGAACCCCTAACTCCTGCATTGTTCAAGGGTTGACTATATTTGGAATCTCAAAATTTTTTTATGAATGAACAAGGGCAAAAAAAAAAAAATTGTATCTTAAAGCATTCATTTCTAACTAATTTTTCCTACTTTTTCTTAATGAAATGGGGATAAAACATTGGTATACCAGGCTTATAACAATTATATACAAGGCATTTCTGAATAAACTGTTTTGATTAGATTAACTGTATTGTTCAGCCAAAACCCCACTAATATAACAGGTTTGAGTGGCCTTTGGAAATCTTAAATGCTTTGACTTCAACTTTGGTGAAATCAATGTATTCATGTAGTTGTCTTGTTATCATGTGAATACAGTGATAATTTAGGGCTTAATTTACAAGAATAATATAAGGTGCCTGAGAAATTTTATACCGTGAATCTTGTGATAATTTTAGTCTTGAAAAATATATGCCATTGCTCAAAGGAAAATATTTAAACTGGTTTAATATGAGTGGCAGACATTGTTTATTGGCACGTAATCTACATCCACCATTCTACTGGTAATACTTTTATCAGACCCTCTTTTTAGCTGGGCTCAAGGGAAAGTCTTCCCATGGAAGATCTCCAAGACGTGTTAGAAGTCAGTCTGCCTCTGCTGCAGCTGAGGTAGAAGAGCCAACCATGGTTGCAGTAGGGTTGTACTTCCTGTTTAGTCCTTTGGTGGCACCAGCAGCAAGTATCGTCCTTTGGGCTCTTGCAAGGGCACTGGAAGCTGCTTGATCTCCGGGCAATATCACCCTCTCTCTTATGCATCCTTAGAACTTCCAACATGTTTCTAACTTCTTGCATAGTTAAATTTCAAAAATTTAATTATGGAGAGTTAAATTTTTCTCTCTGTAAGCTATACACACTGTTTTCTGTTTACCTCCCTGAATACTGGCTGATAAAAACCAGAATTCCTTAAAACTATAGAAAAGTGTTTTTCTATGATTTCTGGGTGTGGGCTTGATGCTCTAGTTTCTCTAGCTATTGGTCTTCTAAAGAAATTGGTCTTTTTGAAGGTCATATATTTAAATACACAGATATTATTTTTATGTAATCAAATAGTCTTCAATCTTATGCTAGTTTATATTGTATATAGATATACCACACTTTATCTACTTTCCTACTGTATAAGATATATAGTTAAGCATTCTTGATTTAGTTATCTGTTGTAGCATAATAAATTACCATCAAATTTAGTGGCTTAAAACAATATTTGTTATTCCACAGTTTCTGTGGGTCAGAAATTCAACATGGCCTAGTTGGGTCCATTCTTTCTCTGGGATTCTTTCAAGGCTGCAATCGAGGTATTGTCTGAGGCTGTAGTTGCTGGCAGGATTCAGTTCCTCATAAACAAATGGACCAAGTGCCTCACTTCCTCATTGGTTATTATCCAGAAGCTGCTCTCAGTTTCTTGCCACATGGGTTTCTTCATAGGAGCGCTCACAAAATGGTGGCTGGCTTCATGACAGAAAGCAAGAGAGGAGAGAAGAGGAGAAAAGAGAAGAGAAGAGAGAAAGAGAGGTGTCACACTCTTTTATAGCCGAATCTTGTAAGTGACATCTCATCCCTTTTTTCATATTGTATTTGGTAGAAGCCAGTCACCACGTGCAGCCCATCTTCAAGAGAGGAGGGATTACACAAGCACTTGAATGACAGTAGTCAGGGATTGTTTCAGCCATTTCAGAAGGTGCCAGCAACGTTACTTTCCTAAATAAATGGTCAATTTCTTGCTTTCTCCTTTAGTTAAATATTGATGAAAGTTGGGCTTGTGTATGGTATAGAGACAATCTATTTAGTTTCAGTGACTGAACACATAAACTTATAAGCAGTAATAACAGACAGCAGAGCAAATAAAGACACCTTTCCTTTTTTACCCTAGAATATACATTTATGTCTTGTGATTGCAGTTAAAACATCATTAGTTTTTAGTAAAATCACCACATCAATAAATCACCTTAGCTATTACCAGTTTATCTGAGAGATTTTCTTTTGTTACAAAGGAAACTTAGGATCTTCAAGTCAAACTTCACTCTGGGATTAATCCTCTAATGGCTATAGAAACAGAAAATGTGCCACCTGCAGACTTTTTGATGAACCGATCTCCATTTCTGCTGGGCGTGGATATGTCTGTTTTTAAAGGGATCTTTTAAAATTGCATCATGCTTGCACTTCAGTCTCTTCCCTAAATCCTAATAAATAGCAAAGTGCTCTCTTTGGATGGGGGCACGTTTCTACAGTCAAAGATGTTCACATGGAACCCCCATGCTATCTCTTAGAAGTCCTGCCAATGCTTTCATCATTTCAAATCTAAAAAGGGCTTAAAGTGACTTCGTTAAAACCCTCTCTATGAAAGCTAAAATCCTTCAATAAGTCAGAATGAGATGTACAGCTATATAAAGACACAAGAGTTACATGATCTTCCAGGTAGGAAATGTCTTACCTATGTTTTACAGTATTATGTTTGAAGAAGAAAGTTTTAATATAAATTTGATATATCAGAGTATCACCACACACATTTTAATTATACACATAAAAATTTGGTGCACGCATTTGCCCTGCATGAATGCAGAGACAGGATTATGTAGGCAGTTTAATTTGAAGAGCAGTGGGCAAACCAATACCCTAAAATATCTGTAGGGTAGTTCCCTCTTATCTGCTGGAAATATGTACTAAGACCCCCCAGTGGATTCCTGAAACCAGGGATAGTACCAAACCTTGTATATATACTTATGTTTTTCAATCTGTTAACCAACATGGCTACTAAGTGACCAGTGGACAGGGAGGTTATACAGTGTGGATGTGCTGGACAAAGAGAAAATTCATGTGGGCTGGGGAGGAGACAGAGCAGGAGGGTGTGAGATTTTATCATGCTCTTCAGAATGGTGCACAATTTACAATTTATAAATTATTTATTTCTGTAATTTTCCGTTTAATATCTCTAGACCATGGATGACCATGGATAACAAACCATAGAAAATGAAATTGGGTGAGGGGGGAATACTGTACTTCCAGTTTCTGTTATTTAAGAGGCAGCCCTCTGGATGAATTTACTGTCTCCTTTGCAAATGCAAATGCCTCTGGAAAAAGAAAACAAGTAGTAAGTGATTTTCAGAATCTAGTATCTTGGGGTAATTTCATCATTTTCTTTTCCCTGTAGGACTATTCTTGACAGATGGCAGAAGGTGAAGGGAAGGGAGCTGATTGCTTTCCTGAGACAACGAAGAGTGAGACTCATAGGGCAGGTAGGTCATTAGAGGTAGATGGCACACTAGAGGGAGATGAGTCAGGCATTTGTTTCTGTGTTGGATACTGTGTTAGGTGTGATATACACATTGCATATTTCAATCCCACATCTGTCTTGCATGGCTAGACGGGGTAGAGCTGGGGTTCAAGTTCAGCTCTGACTCTAAAGGCTGTGCTCTTTTCATCACACTTTCTCAGAATAATTCTGCATGTGACGTGTGAAGCCCCAACGATAGAACTGGCAACTTATTTTGTTAAGTGTATGTAAGTTAAAGTCAGAGTGAGAAAGCCATCCCACATTAGAAATAAAGTGTTTGCATTACTGGCTTAGAGAAGAAAGAAAAGCTACTCACATTTGGATCCATTTCCCTTTCCCAGGGAAAATAATTTGTTTGGTTGTTGTAGATTTTCTGTCTTGCATGGTCTAGGTCATTTGGCATAGATGGCTCAGGGAATGGTGAGGGGCCACATTTGCTTCTGTGCCTCCTCACCTTCCTGCAATTGTCAGACCAAACTATGTCCTCAGAGGCAGAAGCAAACAATAATTGATGCTTATATAATAATCCTGAGACATCAATCAAATGTCAAGTTGTGTTCATTGGCTTATATACAAGAAGGCAAAAATATGCATCCCATGTTTCAGAAATAATTTTGTTTACTTTTCTAAACATTGGTGCCTAAATACATCAATGTTAACTCATGCTTTGACATATTGCTTAATTATAAAAAATGTCTACAAGGCACTTGGCTTGATTCTCATCCTCAAAGATTACTACTTTTGCTCGTTTAAAAAGTATTTATCAGAGGTGGCTGGCAAGATGGCCCAATAGAAACAGCTCTGGTATGCAGCTCCCAGCGAGACTGATGCAGAAGGCAAGTGATTTCCGCATTTCAGCTGAGGTTCATCTCATTGGGACTGGTTGGAAAATGAGTGCAGCCCAAGGAGGGCAAGCTGAAAGAGGGTGGGTTGCTGCCTCATCCGGGAAGTGCAAGGGTCTGGGGAATTCCCTCTTCTAGCCAAGAGAAGCCATTAGGGACTGTTCCCTCCACTCTGGTGCAGATACCGTGCTTTTCCCATAGTCTTCACAACCCACACACCCGGAGAATCCCTCCAGTGCCTGCAACACTAGGAGCCTGTGTTTCCTGCACAAAACTGGGCAGTTGTTTGGGAAGACACTGAGCTAGCCACAGCAGCTTTTGTATTCATACCCTAGTGGCCCCTGGAAACACCAGCAAGACAGAACCATTCACTCCCCAGGAAAGGGGTCTGAAGCCAGGGAGCCAAGTGATCTGGCTTAGCGGGTCCCCCTGTGATGAAGACTAGCAAACTAAGATCCACTGGTTTGAAATTCTCACAGCCAGCACAGCAGCCTGAGTTTGACCTGGGATTTCCGAGCTAGGTTGGGAGAGGGGCTCCACCATTGCTGAGGCTGAAGTAGGCATTTTTAACATCACAGTTGGGAAGTTTGAACTGGAAACAGCCCATGGAAGCTCATCAAGGCTTCTGAAGGCAGACTGTGTCACTAGACTCCCAGCTTGCTGGGCAGGGTATCTCTGAAAAAAAGCAGCAGCCCATCAGGGACTTCTAAATAAAGCTCACATATTCCTGGGACAGAGCAGCTGGGAAGAGGGGTGGTTGTGGGTACAGCTTCAGCAGTATTAAATGTCCCAACTGTGCAGCTCTGAAGAGAGTAGTGGATCTCCCAGCATAGTGTTAGAGCACTGATGAGGAACAGACTTCCTCCTCAAGTGGCTTCCTGCTCTCTGTTTATCCTGACTGGGAGACACTTCCCAGAAGCAGCCAACAGATACCTCATACAGGAGAGCTCTGGCTGGTATCTGGCAGGTACTCTTCTGGGACGAAGCTACCAGAGGAATGAACAGGCAGTAATCTTTGCTATTGTGCAGTGAGCCCTTGCTGGTGATTCCCAGGCAAGCAGGATATAAACTGGACCTCAAGCAAACTCCAGCAGACCTGCAGCTGAGGGGCCTGACTGTTAGAAGAAAACCTAACAAACAGAAAGAATTAGTTTTGACATCAACAGAAAAGATATCCATTCAGAGAGCCCATCCATAGGTCACTGACTTTAAAGACCAAAGGTAGATAAATCCATAAAGATGGGAAGAAAATAGCACAAAAAGAGGCTGAAAATTCCAAAAACCAGAACACCTCTTCTCCTCCAAAGGATCACAACTCCTTGCCAGCAAGGGAACAAAACTGGACAGAGAAGAAATTTGATGAATTGACAGAAGCAGGCTTCAGAAGTTGGGTAATAACAAACTTCTCCTACCTAAAGGACCATGATCTAAGCAAATGCAAGGAAGCTAAGAACTTTGAAAAAAAAAAAAAAAAAGGTTAGATGAAATGCTGACTAGAATAACCAGTTTAGAGAACAACATAATTGACCTGATGGAGTTGAAAAAAACAGCATGAGAACTTCATGAAGCATACACAAGTTTCAATAGCCAAATTGATTAAGTGGAAAAAAGGATATCAGAGACTGAAGATCAACTGAATGAAATAAAATGAGAAGATAAGTCTCCAAGAAATACGGGATTATGTGAAAAGTCCAAATCTACATTTGATGAGTGTGAAAGTGAAGGGGAGACCAAGTTGGCAAACACTCTTCAGGATATTATTCAGGAGAAATTCCCCAGCCCAGCAAGGCAGGCCAACATTCAAATTCAGGAAATACAGAGAACACCACAAAGATACTCCTCAAGAACAGCAACCCCAAGACATGTAATCATCATATTCACCAATGTTGAGATGAAGGAAAAAATGCTAAGGGCAGCCAGAGAGAAAGGTTACCCACAAAGGGAAGCCCTTCAGACTCACAGCAGAAACCCTATCAGCCAGAAGAGAGTTGGTGGGGGGGTGGGGGAAGCAATATTTAAAATCCTTAAGGGAAAGAATTTTCAACCCAGAATTTCATATCCAGACAAACTAAGCTTCATAAGCAAAGGAGAAATATAATCTTTTATGGACAAGCAAATGCTGAGAGATTTTGTCGCCACCAGACCTGCTTACAAGAGCTCCTGAGGAAGCACTGAACATGGAAGGGAACAACTGGTACCAGCCACTGCCAAAACAGCACTTGTAAAGACCATCTACACTATGAAGACACTACATCAACTAACAGGGAAAATAACCAGCTGGCATCATAATGGCAGGATCAAATTCCCACATAACAATATGAACCTTAAATGTAAAT